AGCTGTGGGGTCTGAGCACAGTGCTGTGGGATGGGGTGGGTCTGTCTGCAGCAGAGGAGCTGTGAGGGCCGTTGAAATGCTGTGCTGAGGGATGGGTGCAGTGGGAAGTATTGGCGATGGGATTGCACTTCTCCAGCCCGTGATTCTCTGATTCTTTCCTTTCTCCACTCCGCAGAGGCAGCAGTGGATTCCATCCACACCCAGCAGGACGGTCTGAGGGGGGCTCAGCCATCGCCACCCCCCAGTCAGCCTACAGCTGTCAGCCCCACACGGCGCCAGGTGCTGCAGCGATACCTACAGCTGCGGAGGTGAGTGGGGTCTGTGGGTTTGGGACCCCCCATTGCTGCCCTTTGCTCAGCCCTCCTCTGTCTGTCTGTCCGTCTGCAGTGCCGGATGGATCCAGGACCCTTCTGGGAAGTGGGTGAAGGATGAGAACGCTGAGTTTGACTCTGATGAGGATGAGCCCCCCGCGCTGCTGCCCACCTGAGGTGCCCATCCTCCAGGACTTCCCCCAGCCCCACTCCTGTGAGAATGGGGCAGCTGGAGACGAAGGGGTGTGCGGGTCCTGTGGAAATACAGCCAGGTGCTGCAGGGATCCGGCATTGGGGGTCCCCTTGTTTTGTGATCACAGAGTACCCCCTTTTTGGGGGTGTCCTTATCGCAGCACTGTGATCTCGATGCGGGCTCTGGGCTGTCCTCAGCTGTCCCTACCCCAGGTCATGCTCAGCACAGTGCACACGCAGCTGCCCAAGGGGGGTCACGGCCTTTAGGGGTGGCAGCGTTGGGCTCCCCCTACTCGTGCTCCCAGCAGCTGTCCCTGCAGTCGGCAGAGCGCCCGGCCACATCACCCCCACCTCCCCCCATCAGCCTGTGGGTCCTATGGGTGCTCCCACCTCAGAGCACAGCCCCACGCCCTGCCAGCTCCCAAACCTCCACCCTGGGGAGAGACCCCTCCCCACCCTGTATGTCCCGTGGGCCCCAGAGCTCCTGTCTGGGATGGGAGGGGGGGCTCCCTGGCAGCGCTGCCCCGGCTGATGTTACACCTGGGCACTGGGATTTACCCGCTTGCTCAGCTCGGGGCCATAAATAGTTGTTGGGATGGGTGCCAGGCTTGCAGTGGGTGCCAGCACCAACCCGACACTGGGCTGGGGGGCTCTTCCCAGAGTCCTGCAGACCCCCACCCACACCACAGCCACACAATGCCAGCCGCTATGGGCCCTGGGTGCCTGGCTCTTAGCCCCATGGGTGCCCATCTCCATGCTGGGGGTGCCTCACTTCCCCCCCCCCCCAAAATCTTGGCATTGCTCCGGGCCCTGTAACCCAATCCCTTGGGTATAAATACCCCGACTGTGCAGCTCACTGCTTCCTGAGGGGATCCAGAGGTCCGGCTGGGCCCTTTAACGAGCCCTTCGTTAATGGTTCAAGGTAATTGGGGCCCTCTGGGTCTCAAGCTGTGAAATAGGGCATTACACTCCACAAGCCAGCTTCAGCCCTGTGTCTCCGTCCTCTTTATTTACAGCGGATCCGACCCCAGGGAGCCCAAAGCAGAGCCCATGGGTGAGCCAAGCTCCGGGCTCCAGCAGGGCCGTGGCGGGGGACGCTCAGGTTTTCTTCTGCTTGCGACCTGGGGCAGGGGAAAAGCAGGTCAGGTCCCCAGATCCCATCAACCCCTTGATCTCCCCCCATTTCCCCCTGGGAGGGGCACTCACGGAGCTCGTTGTTGCGGGTGATGGCGATGGCGGCGCGGGCGCGGGGGCCTTGCTGTGTGAAGTGGTACCCAAAGCGCACGACGGAGGGGCACTGCTCCAGCATCGTCGCCATCTCCATCTCCACCGTGTCCCCCAGACGCTGGCACTGCAGGGCAGTGATGCCGTGGGGCAAGATGGGATTTTTGGATCCCCCCCAGCCTCTTCTGGTCCCTGTGGTTGCCCGTTCTCACCTGGTTGTCCACCTTGAGCTCGCTCAGGGTGCTGTTCTGGTACATGGCCTTGATGACGCTCATCATGCCGGCGCTGGTGATGAAGTTGGACTCAATGTTGAGGCTCTGCAGTGTTTTGTTCTCTGCCAGCATCTCGGCCACGGCCTGCAGAGTACCCGTGTCACCTCAAGGTGTCACCTCGGGGTGCCACCTCACCTCTCCAGGGCTGCCTTCCCTCTCTGGGGATGGCGGAGATGTGGGGAGGGACTCACAGTGGCCACGGGGTCGTTGCTGCGGGTCGCCACCAGGCTGAGCTTCTTGACGTGGGTGTTGGTTTTCATGGCCTCGCAGATGGCCTTCAGCGTGGAGATGGGAATGTCCTGCAGCGAGGGGACGTGGCTGTCACCGAGGGGGTGGGGACGGCCCCATAGTGGTGCAAAGTGTCACCAAGGGGATGCGCTGCAGGGGTCTGGGTGCCTCCAGGTGCACAGCTGTCCCCAAAGCACTCAGGTTGTCATCAAAGGGTTGCAAGTGACACCAAAAGGATGTCACCAAGGGGATGTAGGCATTATCAGGGGGACACAGCACAGCACCTCTAGAGATTCCTTGGGCTCAGGACGAGCACCCCGAGGTCAGCCCAGGGCATGGAGCAGCACTATGGGGACAGCCCAGGCCCATGGGTGCATCCCTTACCTTGATGTTGTTGAGGTTGACGTCCTCCAGCGCGCTGTCGTTGGCCTGGATTTGCCGCAGCGTCTCCTCCACGTTGGTGGGGTTTGGGGGCTCATCTGGCACTGGTTTGTACTTATCTGGCTTCACCACACCTGGGCACGGGGTGGGGGGGAACACGGGACGTGTGTGAGAGATGTGGTTTGTGGGTATGGTGGGGGCAGTGATCTGGGACATCTTTTCCAACCCTTCTGATTTTGTGATCCCATCATTCTTTGAGCAGTGGGGATGGATTGGGGTTGGTCTGGATGGCCTTAGAGGTCTTTTCCAACTTTAATGGTTCTGTGATTCTATTTAGGGGTACAGTTGGTGGGATGGTGGGGCTGGGTTGGGGTCGGACCAGGTGACTTTGGAGGTCTTTTCCAACCCCAGTGATTCTATGATCCTTTAATTCAAGTGAACACGGTGTGGATGGGTTGGGATCGGACTCGGCGATCGTGGAGATATTTTCCAACCCTAATGATTCTGTAGCACACAGTGTGCACAAGGATGGGATTTCCTCACCCCAATCCCACCACCGGCCCCGCTGCCCCCTCCTTCTGTTCTCCACATCCCCCCCCCACTCCCCCCATGTTGGCTGTGCACAGCACTCACTGTTGATGCCCTCCGTGTTGGTGATGGTCCCGCTGCAGATCGCGTCGTAGTACTGCTTGTTGCTCATCAGTGTGTACATCCCCAGGATGGCTGTCAGACACCCGTGGGGTCACCACGAACCCCAGCCCCCCCACCCCCCTGCCCCAGACCCCCCCCCCGGGCAGCCGTAGCTCCATGGGGTGGGCCAGGGGCCAGGCTGAAAGCCGAGCGCAGGGCAATGCTGCTGTTGGAGCCAGGGGTTGGCGGGGACCCAATGGCCACAGCATGGGGGGCTGGGGATATGGGGGGGGACATGGCTGTGAGATGGGGATGGGGAGGATGGAGATGGGCTTGGGGCAGCGGTGCGGTGCAACAGCAGCTCTGTGTGAGGGCTCGGTGTGACACAGCAGCTCTGTGCAGTGCTGTGTCACAGCAACCCCATGCTGGACCCACCTGCGATGTCACACATCTCAGCTTCGGTGGCGTTGGCCAACGCCTCCTCCAGCTCCGGCTCCAGCGTGATCTGCTCCTCGCGGGGGATCTCCCGTGTTGGGTTTTTGGGGACAAAAGGTTTCCCTGTATAGGGGAATGTGCAGAGTGTGCAGGGGGATGCACAGCCCCACAGTGAGGGGTGACACCAACCCTGGGATCTCGGTGACCCCCACGCTGGGGACGAGCACCCTGGGAGGGGACACACTGAGGGGTGGCAGCACTGGGGGTGGCATTGCCAGCACTGTGACATTGCCGGGGGGTGGCCATGCCCAGGACTGGCGGGGGCCCAACTCGCCCAGGACATCTGAGCTGCTGGTGAGCTCTGTGCCGCCAAGCTAAATATACCTGGTGCTGCGGTGCCATGTCCCCCCACGATGTCCCCCCTGTCCCCACACCTTTCTTCTCCCCAGTGAATGGCACCAGGTCTTCACGTTCCTTGGCCTCCAGCGCCTGCTTCTCCAGGTGCTGCAGCAGAGCCTCGCGGTCCAGCGGCCCCGTTGGGCTCTTCTGTGTCTGATCCCGCTGCCGCAGCCCCGCTGGCAGCAGCACGTTCTGGGGAAGCACCAGGGGACACCCATGGGTGCCACTGCTGCCCTGCTTTCCTAACCCCCCTCTCTTCTCCCCCTCCCCCCATGCCTTGTGCTGTGCCGACCCCCAGACGCACCTCGGGGTCCATCTCCAGCAGCTCAGTGTCCAGCTGCTCCAGCTCCTCGGCTGACAGCTCCTGTAGGATCTTGTCCTCGTCGATGTCCCTGTATTTCTCCAGCTCTTGCCGGTAGGAAGTCATGGCTGCGGGATCTGGGGGGTTGGGGGGGGGCATGCAATGCTGATACTTTCAGCCCTCAGCGTGCCTCAGCTGTGCCATGGGGGTTACTGGGGGGCTGAGGGGCACCCCTGGGTGTGGGTCGGACTCAGGCCTCGCTGTGGTGCTTTTGGGGAAACTGAGTCACAGCTCAGCACTGCTCCCCACGACCCCACAGCCCTCCATAACCCCCCCTTTCTACACCCCACAGCCACCCGGGGAGGAACCACGGGAGCACATTCAGGACGTGGAGCCCTGTGTCCCCCAAGGGACCCCCAAGGGATGGGGATTTGCCCCCCAACCCGCAGCTCTGAGGATGGGAAGGGGGCACTCCAGGGGGACACCATAGTAACGCCAGCAGCAACCCGCAGGAGAAACCCAATGGCACCACTCAGCACAGGGACCCCCAGCGGTACCCTGTGACCCCCCCAAGGTGGTGTCCTTAGTGGGGACACCCTCACCCCCAACCCCTTCCCCCCCCCCCAGGCCCTACCTGGCCGTTGGCCGGGGCTGTGGAGCCTGCCTGGGCTGTGCCCGGTGCTGAGCCAAGGGCTCCGGCCGCGCAGGGCATGAGATCAGCGTTTTATTCTGCGAGCCGGCAGTGGGGAGGGGCGAGATCACATAACCCGCTGTTATCGAGCCCTGCCAGCGCCCCGCGCGGCTCCACCCCGGGGGATCGGGGCTCACTGCTGCGTCCGTCTGTCCGTCCGTTCCATCCGGGGGGAAGTTTGGGGTTGGGGAACCTCTGCTACGGGGGGTCCTGGAGCTGCCCCACATCCCTTTGGTTCTGAGACCATCTGCGTGCTCCGCTCACCTCCAGCCCCATTCAGAAAAGCCCTCTGGGGCTGCGTGGGGCAGCGGGGCTCAGCTGTGTGCGAGAGGGGCTGCAGGATCTCCCTGCAAACAAGGGGATATCCCAGCGCTGAGGGCACAACCTGCAAACCCCTCACTGCCAGTTCTTTCCTCTTTTTTTAATTAAAAAACCAACCAAACGAACAACAAAACACCAACAGTACAAAGCAGATAAACCGAACGAGGAACCGTCACCACCCCACGAGAACCTGGTGCTCTCAGGCCGTGGGCACGCTCTGCTTGATGATGATTTTCTGACGCGTGGCACGGAGGCCGGGATCGGGGCCGGGAGGAGCAGCCCCCAAAGCTGCAGAGGCAGCGGCGGCGCTGGGCAGCCCGTGGGCTGTGATGTATTTCTTGTAGGCCTCACGGATGATTTTGAAGGCGCGGATGTTGGAGTAAGGGATGTCTGTGATGGGGTCACGGTACACGGCTGGTTTGTGGGTGACTGGGCAGATCTCTCGCACCGGCAGCCGCGGCACCTTTGCTTTGGGGAAGAAACGCTCGAAGGTTTCGTCGTCGGTGAAGGAGATGAAGGTGCGGGAGCACTTCCCGCTGCAGGCTGGGGCTGCGGTGGCGTCTGCCTGCTGCGGGTCTTGGTCCAACCTGGAAGAGATGGAGTCAGCCATGAGGGATGCACGGGGCTGGGGGAACCCAGGGAGCACCCGCAGGAGCAGAATGTGGGGCTGTGGGCAGCGCCACCCGAAACCCATCGCTTTCTACTCAGCCTCAGGGTTGGGGATGGGAGCGGTGGGGTTTGCTTGCAGCAAGGGGGAAACCACCAGGATCCCATCCAGTGCCCCAACTTACCCTTCCACATCCACGTTCTCCTCCTTGCCCACCTCTGTGATGAGGGGCATGGTGACAGACCAGTACCGGATGACGGGCCCGACACACTTCCTCTTCTTCTGCACCTGCTTCTTCTTGTCAGCCTCCAGGCGCTCGTAGTTCTCTGGGAAAGCAGAGATGAGCATGTGGGGGGGGCTCAGCACCCCCCGGCGCCTGCACCCCCATCCTTCACCCAGCTCTCTTCTCACCCAGCGAGCGGAGGTTGATCTCCTCTGTGATCTTGGCCTCCTCCAGCAGCTCCTCCTGAGTCAGTGGGCGGTCGTAATTGGGGCCGCCCTTCTTGCGTTTGGACTGCACCTGGCGCTCCTGGATGCGCAGGAAGGTCTGCCTTGTGTGCTCTGTTGTTGACTGCCTCATGTGCTTCCGGCCTGCAGCAGAGGATGGGGCTCAGCATGGGGCCAGCACAGCTCCCAGGGCAGTGGGTTGCCCAGCTTCAGCCCCAGGGATGCTGGCGCATCCCAATCTGCGCGCACTCACTGTCTCCCACTTCATCCTGAAGGGGATCCAGAGGGGCTGATTTCACCTCTCGGGTCTTCTGGGAGCCGCTGCTGGGGGTGTCGGCCTTCTTGGGTCGAAGGCTCTTGATGGGTTCCTAAGGGTTGGGCAGTAGGGAGAAACTGTGTGAGGCTGCCACTGTGAAACGGCCCCAAAGGGACACCTCCTCCCCACAGTTAGCAATCAGCAGGTTGGCAATTATCCCATCCTTTTGGGGACACCTGTATCCCCTCCCAGCGGGTCAGAGGACACTCGGGGGAACCCGAGCCCCACCCCCAGCTGTCCCCTCACTCTGTAGGCTTTGGTGACGACGCGGCGGCGCCGCTTGGGTTCGCTCTCATCCTGGTCGCTCGTTGGCTCCTCGCCCTCGTCGATGTCAAAATCTGAGTCCACCTCATCGTCGCTGTCCGACTGGTCGCCCCGGTACTCGTCATCGCCCGACTCCTGAGGGACGGAAGGGCAGCGTCACACCGAGGGCTGTGCTCCACCACCACCCCTATGGGGCATCCTCTGACAGCTGCCCCTGGGGTTCCTCCCAAACCCCACTTTGAGCCCCTCCCTTCCCTCAAGGACCCTCTAAAGCCACCCCTGCCCCATTCTGACACCCCTCAGTGCCTCCAATCCCTTCAGGACCCCGCTCGGTTTCCCTCATAGGGTCCACCCAGGTTCCTAAAGGCCCCAGTCCCCTCTCCAGCCTTCATTCAAACCCTCTCAGCCCCCCTAAAACCCTTCGCCCTCCCCCCACAACCCCATAAATCCCCTTTCTTCTCTTCAGGGCTCCCCCGAGGACCCCCGGACCCTTCACGATCCCCCGACCCCCCCTTGGTGCCCCGGGTCCCCTCCCAACCCCCCTCTAAGGCCCCGCACCTCCCTTCAGAGCGCCCCACAGCCCCTCTGACCCTCTCACAAAGCCCCTCCCTGGACGCACACCTCAGTGAAGCCGCCATACGTGGTCTGGTAGAACTCGTCCTCCTCCTCGGCCTCCAGCAGCCCCGACAGGCGGTTCCCGGCCGTGCGCCGCGGGGCGCGGCCTTCAGCCAAACTCATCGCGGCGCCGCCGCTGTCGCCATCGGCGCTCGACTCGTCGTCCTGCCGCGGGAGGAGCGAGCGACGTAGCGCCCCCTTGCGGGCCGGAGGTACGGAAGGCTCCGATGATTTCTATTGGTCGCCCTCCGCGCGTCACGTGACTCGCGCCTCGCGCGCCCCGAAAGACTCCACCCCCGCTCATCACGTGGCACGCATCCCGCGCATGCGCTCTGAGCGATCCCGCCCCCCCACCGTGGGTGGTGCCGAGGGGGGGCGTGGCCTCGCGCGAGGCGGTGGCGGGCGCGGGAGGCGGCAAGATGGCGGCGGCGGGGCCCGAATCGGGGGGCAGCAGCGGCAGCAGCGGCGGCCTCGGAGGTAAGGCGGGACCGCGGGCGGCTTCGTGGGGGGCTGATCCGGGCGCTGGAGGGGGCGAGGAGGGGCCGCGGGTGGTTGGGGGGCCGCGTGGGGCTGAGGGAGGTGCGGGGTGGGCCTGGGGGGCGGTGAGGGGCCGTGTGT